AACTAAATCAATTATATGATCATAAACTTGCTTATATCGATTTTTTTGAGTATTACTTTTTGTTGAAATAGATTTTTTGAGAATTTCTTTTATGAATTTTCTCTGATCCTTTTCTTTTAAATCTTTTCTATCCTTAAATTTTTGAAAAACAAAATATGTTTGGTCAAATAATGCACTGACAAAAATCTATTCAGCCTTGCATTTTGTTTCGTCCAAATAACACTTTACATTTTTAAGGTATTTTTTCCACTTTTCACCATCTAATGAATTTGGTTTGACAACATTATTAAAATTATCTTTCGAATTTAATTTGTCAATATAATAGTTAAGCTGTGAATCTATGTAAGAAATTTCTTTCTCCTCCGTCTCCTCTGTTTCCTCTTCTTCACCTTCAACAGGTTTATCAAAATCCATGTTGATCTTTATACGCAGAAATATCTATTCAAAGCTTTTAAGATAAAATTGAATTAGGTGTGATTAAGTGAAACATATTTATATGTTAATTATCTGCAAGTGCAGAAGTGGGCGAAATCTAGTATTGTTGATCATTACTAATTGGATATCGGCCTTTAAAAATAATAAATAAATTTAATTCATTCCTGGCCCATAACCAATATAATTTGGCCTGCACTACAAAAATTTGAAACTAATTTTTATAGTAATTTTTAACAATATAAATAATTCGGCTGATTATCAAATTTTACATAATAAATACAAATTTAACTTTACGTTAATACATATTAGTTTAATAAATATCAATACTAGTGAAGTGATCCATTTCTTTAAAACTATTAGCTAACTCTAGTTTCTGAAAACTATATTCAATACAGCTCAATACAGTAGTTCTTACTATTCACTATCATAAATTCTATTCGCATGAAAACGAACCAAAACTAATCCAAGTCTAATATATTGAAACCATTTAATATGACAAAAATCCATCATAATCTGGGTGTCCAAACCCACAACTTCCAGCCATTATTTCAGCAAAAAAATCTTTTATAATTTGTATTTTAACCATTTCAGGTATATAAAAATGTTCGGGTTGGTTGTCAAAAGTTCCATGCACAATTGGCTCGTAAGGATCAGTATACAAATATGAATGTATCGACCGCTTGATCCTATAAAAAATAGATAAAATCAGTTCGAACTCTATGTATCAATTTGAGAAATAAAAAATACTTAACTGCCAAATCATAATTAAGATAAAAGCTTCAAGAATAAATATAAAAAACAGAATAGTATTGCAAGTACAAAATTTCTTGAGAGTTTTTATCACAACTTTAAAATGTGATAAACATTTATAAATTTCTTGAAGTTTTTCCTTATTTATTTTCGCGATTTCTAATTTTTAACTCTTAAAATTTTTTAGTTTTTATAATTTTTGTAGTCCTTCAAAAAAACTATAGCTATTTACTGTATATATATACATATTCATTTCGTGTTCAATTGCGTAACAGATCAGCATTATATACGATATAATTTATATTATAACCTTATCAAAGGTACTGTATATTATACATGACTCAGTTTCAATGTTTTGTAAAATAGGTAATACAAATAACCGCGGCAAAGATAGCATAAATTAAAAACAAGTATGAATTAATTATCTCCTTATTTAAACAAGCACATTTACCATTATTGAACAAAGCCTTTTGCAATAGCGCGCAAAGAATTGGAAACTTTGCATATATCATTAAATTTTTAGCAGTAGATAAATTTCTGTTCGTCTACACTTTCTTGGAATTTGGTTGATTGTTTGTTGCGTAGTATTTATTTTTTTCTTATGC